CGGCCGTGCTGCCCCCCCCCCCTCCCCTCAGTCCTCAGTGGCAGTTTTATATAACAGGTGATGTAACTGATGATGTTAGCGACACTCAAGACTCACACGTCTTTGTCTGTTTTTTTTTTCTTCTTTCTGTGTTTGATCCAGATGGACACCATCTCTGGGAGACGGAGGCCAAGGTGGACAGAGACGCCTCCAAGACTGTGAGTGGATCACATCATGTCTCCTTCAGGTCTAAGGTTCTGACTGGGGTCGACCATAGTTAACTCAGAACAGAACAGAAAGTGAGCAGAGCTTTAACACCAAACACACACAGTCATGGTCAAATAAGTCCTACGTAAAAAAAAAAAAAAATACCGGGTCATTCAGGAGCAAAAATGTTATCCTAAAAATCCAATATTTACAAATATGTCAGACCAAATTTAAACTAACTTTAAAATCCCTTTTTTTTTTACTTTATTTCAATCATTTTCGGTCAACTTTTACCCATCCTTCTCTCCTAAAGCATGAAGGGCACGACCTTGAGAAAACTGAGAGAGTAAACTCACCCAGTTACTGTCACACACACACATCTGTCTGCACAGACACACACACAGAGACACACACACAGACACACACACAGATGGAGGTATAAGCAGTAAGAAGTGCAGGTTTCTTCAGCTGTGTGGTGGGCGTCCTCCAGGAGGTTTGGAAACAATGTGAAATACGTGTAAAGGTTTTCAAAAGTTCAACCTTCAACCTGAGTTTGAGTCGAGGCTGAGAGAGAGAGAGAGAGAGAGAGAGAGAGGGGGGGGGAGAGGGGGAGTCTGGGAGATAGACCAGGGGATTAAACGGTGTCTATATTTGAAGCACTGCACCTGCTCCCTGTGAAAACACACACACACACACACACACACACACAGACTGCTGGGACACATCTGTCCATTTGAATAGACAAAAGGCCTCTCGTCTTCTCTCTGCCCCCCCCACAGCCCCCAGTCTGTTGGATTGGTCCCATTTTAAACACTCACACCCTGAGGTGTAACCTCTGCTGCTGCTGCTGCTGCTGCTGCTGCTGCTGCTGCTGCTGCTGCTGCTGCTGCTGCTGCCGCTGGTGCTGCTGCTCCCCCCGC